ATTTGTTTAATATGGAATATTTATTGACCACATCTCTGTCCTGTGCATCTTCTTCTTATCCTCCCCCCTGCTAAATTTCTCAGGATTGCCACCATCGAGGTGCAGATCGCCAAACTGGACAGCGAGGCATGGCCGGGGCTGCTGGACCCTGAGCGAGACCGCCTCATCCTCATCAACGAGAAGGAGGAGCTGCTGAAGGAGCTGCAGTATATCAGCCCTCGCCAACGCCTGGAGCCCAACGACGCCGAGAAGCTGGAGTCTGAGAAGAAACGTCTGGAGAGAGACTTGCAGGCCGCCAGAGACAACCAGAGCAAGGCTCTGACTGAGAGGTGAGAATATTAAACAGAAATTACTTCAGATCATTTAACAGTTAGGAAAAATCCAAATCTCAATCTCAGAACAGAACACATAATTGCTGACACATCATGACTGAAGTCTGAAACTTTTTTTATTACTTATAAATATGGATCTAATCAAGAGTAGTATCGAATCCACTTCTTAGAAATCTTCTTAGGTTTAATTTTAAACTTTCACAAGTAACTAAAGACTAAAATAAGTCCAACTCAAGGAACACGACAGTTCTGTCTAAAAAATCTTTACAACCAGTAGCTACATCCTGAGCAGCAGAATATATTAAATATTATTAAACATATCAGCTAATTAATCCAAATACTGAACCTTCTGATTCACATCCATGAAGCTGATCAGATTAAATTAGACACGATTCTCAAATGGACAGGAGGTGATCAGCTGATCATGTGTATACAGAAGAGGCTCTCCACTGTGTTGATCCTTGTTGACCTACAAAAATACAAAGTCCATTCACGGTGGTACAGTCGTGTTATAAATTGATGCATCTTCTCACTCACAAACAATCTTTGGCTACAGAGAACACACTTTTCATTCATTCCTTTTTCATTAGTGACAGAAGAGCTAATCTAAAAATGAGCATGAACATTTATTTTTTCTGTTGCTCTTGGCTAATAAAAAAGAGTGAGGAGAGATAAAAGTATCCTTGTATTTGGCCAACTGGGAACCAGATCCATAACGGAACCGGCTATTGGAACCTGACCCTACTTAAAATGTTCAGAGGTCCAGGTCCAACTGATCTCTATAAGAAATAGCTTGTTTGATTTAAATCTCCTATTGTTATTACAGTATGAACATGAGGACAACAGTGAAAAGAAAGACAACAGACAATTTACTAATAGTAACCATACTTACAGTAAAAGTCCTAATAATAAATACAGAAAGGGAGGTCCAAAAAAAAGGTTTATCTTTGTCCTTTTTGGATGAAAGCATAACCAACCATTAGCTGACACTAAGAACCAACGGCAGCTGTCTGTTTTTGTTATACTCTTACTACATGTCTAAAGGTGGACTGAAGAACAGTGTCATGGAGAAGGTTAGAGCAGGTGATGACAGTGGTGTGATGAGTGTAACTGTGGTCATTATTGTCTCATCTGCTGATGAAACCACTGACCTTCTACTTCTGTTGGACTCCTTTGGCCTTTAGACCTTCAGAGACGTCAAACCTCCCTGATGATTATTAGGCGTTAGAGATGAACATGACAGAGAAGACACTCCTCCTCTCCTTGCTTCTCTTCCTCTCTGTCTCTGTTCCTATCTGTTCCTGCTCTCCTAAATCTTTCTTTTACCTTTTTCTTTCTAGTTGTGTACAACCTTCTTTCTTAAATAGCAGCAGGCAGCTAAACCAGAACCAGCAAGATCCTACGTCTGTCCTCCCCTCTTTCCTCTCTCTCTCTTTCACCCTCTAACAGGACTCTTGTTGTTCGATGTTCAGGTCAGATTCTACCTGAGCTCAGTCTCTCTTTGTGTCTCGTCTCCTGTTCCTGTAACCTGAGAGGCTGCAGAGCCTGATCACAAAAGGAACTTCTTGTAGTCCACCTACGCACCCTACCCACACACACAAACACAAGAAATATGCACACAGTCATGCATTCTGTGTCTGCAGGTTCTGAAGATGTGGAATTCTCTAAATCATGATCCCTGAGTACAGAAAAGTAATTAGCTCTGGAGGTTTTAAAGGTCCTACTCACCCAAACAGGTATTATCAGCTGCTCTGGCTAATTAGACCCCCGCTCTTGTTATTGTGTGAGGTTATAATAAGACTGTCAGATATGTAAGTTGCCCTTCTCTAAAAAATGTAAAAAAAAAACTAAAAGAAGGGAGGCAGATGTTCTTAAAGACAGTAAACACACCCACGCAGCGAAGACCTCTAAACAGGTCAAAAAGCCTCTGTGTAGGGCCTTTAAAAAAGTTGCTGTTTCTCAGTGCACGTTTAAAAAAAAAATCAGACACAAAATTCCACACAAAAGTTGTTTTTAAAGGACCAGTGTGTAGGATCTTATGGCATCTAGTGGTGAGATTGCAGATTGAAGCGAAAAACGCGAAGGGCCCTGAGCTACTGTAGAAACAAGGCGGTTCAACATAGCGAACTCCTTGGAAGACGTCCTGCTCCTGGTGTAGATAAAAACGGCTCCCACTGCCGAGGTGCCCTTGAGCAAGGCAACCTAACCCCAAGAAACTGCTCATGGGGCGCTGCTAACGTGGCAGCCCATCACTCCACCGTCTCTCTCCCTGTTTGCATGTCCACAAGTGCATGAAGAGTGTGTGTGTGTGTGTGTGTGTGTGTGTGTGTGTGTTGGTGTGTGTGGAAAAAAAAACGAGTGAAAAGAACAATTTCTCCAATAGTGGATTAATAAAGTGTATATCATCTTGTATTATGTCTTAAACACGAAACGAAAACGAAAACATACAGATGAATTGGTAATAGCTAATTCCATTTGTGCCAAAAGATCCTCCTAAATATTACATCACCTTTTAACATCATTGAAAAAATCTTCAATTTACTTTAAACTCAGACAGATCATCAAACACCTTTTCTGACAAACCCACGTGTGTCACTGCCAGACGCAATGAAAGCGGACCTAGTTAGACTGAATATATTTGTGTCGTTTGCGGTTCCCACGAACACAGTGGCCCTGGGATGACCTCTTCTCACCACTGGCACTAAGAACCACTTTACATGTTTTGTTACAAAGACTAATATGAGTTTCAATACAATATATAAATATGTTTTTCTACAAAACTTTTTTCATTTTAAAAAAAAGTTACAACTAAACACACAAAAAAACAGTTTAAAACTGATAAAACAATTAATTCAAATCAGGGAAGAAGTAAACAAAATTATGAATCTGACCGACATTTGACGCCAGCTTTTGTAGCACT